CATTTTAATCTGGCAAGGATTCTACCAAATTTAGGTGGAGATATTCGAGACAACTGTTGGGTTTTTTGAAAGAGCTCAAGAGTCATACGTCCTGTTTATTCACCTTAAATGTCTTGCAGTTTACACAGGCCAACAAAATAATGCTTAATTCTCCGAACTCTGATTGTGTGATTAGCAAGGTATCAAACATTTCATTAGAACCGGCTTTAGTGGTCAGCAACAAAACTGTAACTATAGCATTATTAAATTCTCTTGACCTGGGATAGATGGTTCAGAATCAACAAGGAAGAGTCCGCAACTTATGACCAAAGATTTATCATCTTCAGTCAGCAAATTGTAATACCCAAGAACAGGCAGCTTATGACATGTAATACTCGGAATAGAAACTTTGATAGGTTTAATTATGGCACTGGAACATAATTACTTCAATTTTCCAACCGAAATGATGGACTTAGTACTACCAGTGCGAACAATAAATTCGTGAAAGGAAGCACCGGATAGATATAATCGTTTTCCAATTCGACGTGAGTTACACAAAGTAGTAAATAAGGATAATATATGATTATCAGTACAATCCAAATTAATAGGAATCGAATTAATAAGTCTAGCGTGACTTTCAGACAGACTCGATTTGTCACACCCAAAGCCTCTGATGTAAGAACAGGCAAGAGGTTGTTTGGAGATTCAATTCAAAACATTGGGTGTGTGTGTGGAGCAATGCTTAAACATGGTCCGTTAAAAGACTGGATAGACTGCTTGATAATTTCAAGGTTGTGAATGATTAAAATAAGATTACTGGAATAAGAAGTTACTAAATTGGGTTGCATAATAAGTGAACAGGTTTGGAAGTGTTTACATAAGTTGAAAGAATAGGATGAATTAAAACTTATGAATAAAGGGATAAGTTTGGTGTACGCAAAAATTAGAATTAGTTCGGTGAAGACCGCGTAACAAAAACTACAATTAACAATAATGATATTAATAATAACAATAATAATAGTCGACCAAGGCGGTAAAAGGTTGATTATTGTCGCATTCTGGATATAAGGATCAAGTGTGAGATTTTTCACTAGTGTTTCGGAGAAGCACATGTGGTGAGACAACAGAGAGTAATGCACATATTCTCACTTTCGAAAACGTTCCAAAGGATTTGATATCGACAGTCACAACTGCCTTAAACAATTTAATTTATTGGCATTTATTTGGCCCCTTACAATGATGTTTACTCTCGCTAATTCTGTTTCTCCAGGGAAAGCAAAGAATACGATCGACACATTGACTACAACAAGTTAATATAGACTTCACAGATGACCTAATCTAGCCCTTCTGTCTCATTATATCAAAAAATGCACGTCAGAACAACCGGTATAGCAACTGCACTAGAATAGTAGGTCTCAAAATATACAAGGAAAAAACCAAGGTCCTCAAATACAACACGAAGAACACCAATTCAATCACACTTTATAGAGACGTTCTGGAAGGGGTGGAAACTTTTATGTACTTGGACAGAATCATCGATGAACAAGGAGGACCCGATGCAGACGTAAAAGCGAGGATCGACAAACTAAGGACAGCATTCCTACAGTTGAAGAACATATGGAACTCAAAACAACTGTCTGTCAACCTACATCAAAGTCACAATCTTCAATATGAACGTCAAGACAGTTCTACTGTACGGAGCTAAAAAGTGGAGAACCACCACAACCATAAAAAAGTACAAGTATTTATAAACAATTGTGTATGCAAGATACTCAATGTCCGTTGACTGGATACCATCAGCAACAGCCTACTGTGGAAGAGAGCAAACCAGCTTCCGGTCGAAGAGGAAATTAGGAAAACTAGTTGGAAGTGGATAGGATATAAATTTCGAAAATCATCAAATTGCATCGCGATGCAAGTCCTCATTTGGAATACTGAAGGGGAAAGGAAAAGAGGAAGATCAAGTAACACACATAGTCGCGAATTGGAAGCAGACCTCAAAAAAGTGAATAGCAACTGGAAAGGACTGCTCAGGACAGTGTCGGATGGAGAATGCTAGTGGGCGGCCTATGCCCACTCAACGATCAGTAACAGGAGTGAGTAAGGTGGCCATCAGTGTTACAAACAACTAGTTAAACTTTTAAACGGGGATTACCGGGTTTCAAACTTTATGGTCTAAAGATTGGGATCATGAGTCAACCACCTCTGAATTAACTACTTTTATGAATCCGGTGTCCATCTTGTTGTGTTAATGAGGTATGGCAACTTAGACCGATGCATATATCTGCCTGGTCTTACGTCGTAGCTGACTGACAAACTGAGTCATTTGAAGCTAGACCACCATGGAAAACCTGGAACCACTGGACGGCCGTTTCGTCCTATTGCGAGACTCCTTAGCACTGCGCATCCACGGTCCCTCATTGCTGAGGAGTCCCACAATAGGACGAAACGGCCGTCCAGTGGTTCCAGGTTTTCCATGGTGGTCTAGCTTCAAATGACTCAGTTTGTCAGTCAGCTACGACGTAAGACCAGGCAGATATATGCATCGGTCTAAGTTGCCATACCTCATTAACACAACAAGATGGACACCGGATTCATAAAAGTAGTTAATTCAGAGGTGGTAATATATAAAAGAAATATTGTAATAAGGATATAGTACAGGAAGAAAGAATTAGTTGGTAGAAAGAAAGATATGAAGCGATTTTAATCTTTTAGTTTACGGGAAGACAGAGAGTGTATATGTAGAACTATGGTCTACTATGATATTAGTACTGCTCTAATAATAGACCTAATCCTAAATTTATACATTTGTCATGATATAACTGCCTAATCTATAAGATCTTACGTGGAAGTCACACCATCGACTACACCAACTCACTTTGAGGATTGTGTGATTATGGTCCAATGCCACTACATATACACCGATGCCATTGTGATCGATTCTGAGCCATGTCACGAAGAGTCTCCAGCCATTGGTTGCAATAGTGACGCGGACCCCAACCAAGTAGTCTGCATCTACCAACATGGCTCAGACTAGAAGTTGTCAACGCGTTCGACTACTTCACCAATTCACTTCAACTGACTCATGATCTCAACTATTACAAAACCACTATAATATCCACAAAAAGCATTCTGATATTACTCAACATATGCTCACTAGCGAGTGGCTTCAAGAGGTATTTCCTGGAGTTCTAAATGAGAAGCAGTGACTAGTGCAGTTCAACTGGATCTGTTATCAGACAGTAACTTACTGGCGACAATGGTGGGTATGTTGCTTAATTTCATGGTCTAGCTGAGCTAGATTTTAAGCGTCCGCGCGCGAGATTGATAGGTTCTAGGGTCGAATTTCACGAGGTTGGATCGTGGATGCGCACTGTTGAGGAGTTCCACAGTAGGACGAAATGGCTGTCCACTGGTTCCAGGTTTTCCATGGTGGTCTAGATTCAATCGACTCATGATCTCAACTATTGAACTTATCATTCTTTTTCCCATATAAATATATATATATATATATATATATAGTAGTTGCTTCACTTTGATTCTCTTTGACTCTGACTCTTCCTTTGTAATTGCTTGCTTGCGCTCTATCCAGTTATAAAATACAGTTGGCGCTTTGTGTTGCCTTCTGAACTCATACACCGTTAACATTTATTTATTGACAGTGATCAGAGCGATTGATAAACGAAGCCTAATGAATTATTATAGAGGCAAGCCACTCGAAGACCACCGAACATATTGAGTCGGGAATCGGTTGCACAGACGAAAAGAATGAGTAGCTACAAGGAGCAACATTGAAAGGATTGCCTGGGAGAGTTTGCTCAAGAATCCTGGTGAGCGTGCTGTGCTCGTCCACAAGAAGTGACAGACGTAGGTCTCTGAATAAGCATACTGTTGGCATTCCATAAGCTTGAATATTCATTAGGAGACTAGGAACACAGCGTCTCTCCGGTTTGCCGAAACAGTAGCAACAAAACCTTACACTTGATTCATATAACCATGTATCAACTTTGTTTTCGATTATTATTATCTCTATTGAACCGATGTTTATTTATGAATAAAAGTACTCCCATGTGCATATATATCATCCCGGATACCTGATTGAAATACCGTCTGATGTTTTATCAGAAGTATTCAACGCCTCGAATAAGTACACATGACAATTCTCCTCCATTTAAGACAAGCATATTTATTGCACGATCATCAGCTACCATACTAGGCTGCCCCGCATGGTATAGAAGGTCATTACGTTGTATCTCACCGATAGCATAGCAAACAATCAAAGTTTTGAGTGTCTCGTTAAAATAGACCGCTACCTAAAAGTAAGAATGCTTATTACTATTAGCTTTAGTCAGTATTATATCTTTGGTACAATATGGAATTCTCGGCCAAAAGCATTTCAGAAATTTTCCGTTTCATACTTCTTGGTCGATCCCGACGATAAATACTGAGTGATCGCCAGTTAGATGTTAGCAGTCCAGTAAATGAACATCTGAATAATGTATATAGTTTTTGCTGCATATTACCAGCGACCACAATATCTCTTATTGGGCTTTTTGCAACTTTGATAGCGAAAGGTTGTACACTTTTCAGAAACGCACTTGTTGAAATATCTAGATGGCAGGAACAGGTAGCCCAGATCACAGAAATCAGCATCCTCCGTTTCATCAAAGACCACTGGACATTAGAACTTCTGTTTTCTACCATATCCCAGCACAAGCCTTTAAATTGGTCTGAATTCACTATCCAAAATGTAATTAGGGTGGTTTAGTTAAGCATCTACGTGTGCGTAAAGACTGCACTCTCCTCGTAGAAAGGAAGAACAAAATATCTAATGGCCATTTAAAACTACTCTCAGTGTTACTTAACAAGTAAAATATCAGAATTTCGGCTTTCTGGTGAGTTTCCAAGTTTTTCTGCCATAGCACCATGAGGGATGTGTAAGTGCTCAGTAAGCCTATCGTTACAAGGTTATTGGAAGGGCATTTTGTTGGCGCTACATTCTGCTTACACGTTGCTTTAGGATGGCAGGCAATGCTTTGAAAAGACTCATGGCAGAGTACAAACGTGCGTTCCACTTAATTACTAATATTCTCAAATTTTCAATCGCTATGATTTTGTTGGATTGGTCTATCACAAGCCATGTCATGTGTACATTTTGGAGGACCAACTGAACATCTTTAGTTGTATGGCCTCTATTATCTAACTGATGCCTCATTAAGTCAAATTGCAGTTCTCACAAATGTCTTTTACTCTAAAAAAGCAAAGATCTTATCTTTGTTTTTGTGCCTTTATTATTCTCAAAAGCTGGTTCTCAGCTCTTTTATATAAAAAAGGTGGATCATATATGATCCATCCTACACATATCTTAAGCATATACTGAGCGCTTCTGAAGCAAGCCTTTAATAAATCTGTCTTAGTGGCTCTCAACCTCTTTAATTGCCTCTAATTGCTTTATTCACCACCCAAATGTAGCATGTGAAGAACATGAGTTGCTGGTCGTCAATAATAATTACCTATAAACATGTCTAATCTTTTAATTTCGCGAATTACGTCCTCAGAAAAAGTCGGTAATGCTTATCCTCCACCCCATATATTGTTGTTGCCAACTTGTTTTGTCCGAATCAGACATATGTTCGATATTGTGTAGGACTAACTGTGCGATTTGATGGGTGTTGTGAAAGTTTAAGTTGGTATCATCATGTAAATAAAATTCCCTCTTGGAACGTAGATACAAATATGCATTTAAAATGATCTCGTATGATGAAGTCTGTGAAACATCAAGTTAGTGGTTAAATTACTGTTATTTTAGCCTATATATTTCAGGTTTGCACCATATCTCACTTACTTCGACTTGGGAAGTCCATTAGTGTCAATAACCACGCCTAAAATGTGACTCGAAACTTAATAAATAAACCTATACTTGGTAAATTAATTACATCATATTATCTCACGCTCTGATTTACATTACTCGCTCCTCCATTTTAGAATTAACAGTCAATCCACCAGAGGGTATTGTTGCTGGACCAGTGGATGAAAGGAATTTTTTTGAATGGGAAGCACTAATTGCGTGAGTTAATTGATATTTAAATTAATAAAGTAGTTTAAGTGGGGTAGTGTAATAGCATTTGGTAACTATATTTTGATAAACGTTAACTATGTGGTACTGAGTGTTTAGTTCTAAATAATTGTAGCGAAATAGCTAAAAATTCATTTAAATATCTAAGTCATCAGTACACAAGTTCAGTGCACTTTACGCATTCATTCTGTTATAAATTAGTTATGGACTTCTTATGATCCTCTCTGCATCATTTCAAACAATTCTGTCATTGTATCTTACGATCTGTTCGGTCCTGTAATTTGTTAAGTTTTGTAATCTTATGTGTTAATCAATTGTTGCATAACACATGACTTAAAAATTATTACGTCATTAACTAGCTAGTTAATGCAACTCAGGAACCTAATAAATAGGCTTTATATGTACGAGTTAATGGTAATACTTGAATGCTCAGCCTGAAGTAGGGCAGGACTCAGACTTGTGACCTAGTGTTTAGAAGCTCTCAAGTCATATGACCGCTGAACTGCACCATCAGTGTATCCTCTATAAGTTCTTGTATTGTCCTAAACGTAAAAAGTATCTATAAATAACCTAGCAATGCAGTTCCGATTTGTCTGTAAAGAGTCAGATGTAAAGTAGACTTCAGAAGTACATTTCTGTGTATTAATAAAGATGATTCAAATAAGACACACAAATCATATATTTTTTTATGATAGTAAAGATCCTGTCTGGTAAGATCGGTGAGTTACTAATGTCAATAAAGGAAGATCGGTTAATAGGATTGTGAAAAAGCTCCGACTGACGTTCAGGACAATATTAGTGAGTTCTCAGCCACCAAATCTGTTGTTTAGTAGAATACACAAAGAATGTGATTCAAAGCTGAGTGTATGAATAATTTGCATTATTGTTTTTTTATTTGTCCAAGTATAAATTGCTCAGTACAACACCTCAGTACCTATCTAGTTGTATTTTTCGAAATATGCCTCTGAAAACACCAGAATCAGTGAAACGAGACGTCTATTATTATTATTTTATTTTTAGTTCATCTTCAGGTCCTGTTACTTCCTAGCTTTATCGTTAGTATCAAAATAGGTAAATATGAAGTTGACTAAAATAACCCATAATGTCATTGAATAAGGAAAATAGAATTCAGCGGAGAAAATTTTCTTTTCGACGAAATCTTTTACTTAAGCTGTACATTCGTATACATAGTTATATGGAAAATATATGTCTATAGGAGGAATCCATTTTGTGATGCAATCTTTTCTATCCTCTTATAGACATATATTTTCCATATAAATATGTACGAATGTACAGCTTAAGTAAATGATTTCGTCGAAAAGAAGATTTTCTTCGCTGAATTCTCTTTTTCTTACTAAATATGAAGTTGATGGCTTAGTGACTAAGTGACTTGACCTTCCACTAATAGGTCATAAGTCCAAGCCTTGATCCAAATACTTTGGGTAGGGAAGCTAAAAATAGTGTCATCAGCACTTTAAAATTAAGCTGAGTACGTAAATCTGTAATTAATCGGTTAAAATATGACTCATTATTATTACTATAATGTTAACTGAATTATCAAATTTAAATTCATTAATCGTTCACTTGTGAATCGTATTTAAAAGTACATATGTATATTTTTGACAGTTTTCTTTTTAGAAGTTACTTATTACTTATTGAACTTCCTAGTTTTTTATAGTTTTTCATTCTATTCCGTATGTGATATATTATAGTGGACCAGAGGGTACTCCATTTGAAGGTGGTGTTTTCGCTGTACGTTTGAACTTCCCATCAGATTACCCTTTGTCTCCACCAAAATGCAATTTCTAACTGAAGTGTTCCATCCAAATAGTGAGTATATTCAGTTTTTATTTACTTTATGTTTACATGTAAGGAAGATAATTTAACCGGTTTGGTAGTGTTGCATTCCTTGAGCTGGATAGCTTAGAATCACATCGTCGTTCTGAACAACGTTATCAGCGCTTACGTCATGCAGAATTAAGCTTCAAAACTATTCCATAAGCTTCAAACCAGTTCGTTCTTATGACTTTGTTTGTGGTTGATGGTCTTTGTAATCCTGGTTGTCTTCATTTGTTTTTGTGTTCCTGTTGATTTCTTTGTTTGGTCAACCTCTGACTATGTGGTCGATCGATCTTTTCCCTGTGGATTGGTAGATTTAGTCTATGATTATGTATCTCTTGATCGCCTAATAATTCGAATCTCACGCCTTTCGAAACTCTATGAGACCCTTAGAATTTCCTGGACCTAGAAGTTTGATGTTTTCCTAATTGAATTCGTGCCCATGGTTCTCTGCATGCATTGATAGCAGTGATACCTTGTGTCGTTCCATTTTTGTGCAGTGATTGAGCCCACTTTCACAAGTAGCAAGCTGTAATGATATTGTTCAGAATTACAATGAAATCCTTGCAATTAAGCTATATAACTCATGGAAAACAGCACCACAAAAATGTCCTTCCATCATCACTAGCTGGTAATCGTGCTATCATTGACTTTCCTCCAACCCGTCTGAGAAAAAATTCATAATGTTAAGGAAAGCTGGAAGTCACATAAGTCACCACGAAGTTTAAATCTCGATAAATCCAATCTCCTGGTTTCAATCAGAGAAATAGATACGTAGGATAATAATAATGTTGAAACTAGTTTTTATCACAAATGTGTCTAGGTTGAAAAAATTTGACCAGTGGATTTCAGGTTGAGGTGGCGTAATGGCATATTAGAAAGACTACTTCTATCTGTGTTAATAATAATAGTAATAACGTAATCACTAGCGTCTAGTTTTGAGATGGATTCTAAAAGTGCAAATGTGAATTTATGTCTAGTGAAGTTTAACTGTCAAGTTTCAACAATTTTCCATCATTGAAATTGGACGGGTTGTCTTACTACGCTATACATTTTTCCAAGCTATGTTATAGAATCTCTTGAAGTCCTCTATCCATTTCATGATGAACCCTCGCAGTATGTATATAAATCTTGCTAATGAGCTTCATATTAAAACGAAACAGTTGGTCTCCATTGTTCCCTAATAAAGGTTCTCTGCTTGACAATGTGGGCGTGTGACAAAATTATTGTCAAATCCCATATACCCAAATAATTCGATAGTTGTGAACTCGAATCTTTAACTTAAGTAGTGTGGGAATAAAAATGAAGCCAGAGAAAAATAATGGACGAAGGCATGTGATTGTTATCAAGGCCTAATCAAACCCTGTTAGTGACGTGTGAGTGGTTAGTATTTTCTTATCCCTGACAGCGTGGAAAGGTTTTTCTTGTTAACCACAATTGTGCAACAGTTGATATATATACCGATGCTTGATCATTTTCGTTTGATTTTACTGTCTATCCGACAGTGTGTAAAGAAAATTCACATAATCGCTCAAGTTATCATTAACTATTAACTACTGATCTTTCCCCATTGTTGACACTCATAGACTAGAATGGACAAATATTTATTGTAACATACACTCCTTGATAGATGGATGCCTAGGTCATTTCTACTTTGCATTTAATAACAAATATACCTAATTGAACAAGTTCGCGATTCTCATATTGGATAAAACTGACGTTTGAAGCAATGTTATCAAATATTTTCGGGGATATCTAGGCCAAAATATGTGACACGGCCATATTTAGAACACAGGTGTAAGTGATGGATTGATACTCATTCAGATGAGTCCAAACAAGAACGTTCCAAGTAATACCATCTGCCGTACTATGGAAATAAACTAGTGAACTCTGATTATCACGCTTCCTGCTAGGAAGCAATTCCCACTGGGACTCCGTTATGACGTTAGGGACATCCCTGTTTGGATTCATGTAGATAAATATCGATTTGCCACATCTAGCTGCCTTCTGAACATCAGTTTATCACTTCTATTAGCCTAAATATGGCCGAACATAAACATTTAGTCTCAGTGTAAATGTCAACCTTGAATTGCAAGCCTATCCAGCTGACGGGTGCTGAATAGAAAGAAACACATCCTGCATCTCGCAACTAGTCACTATCATTTTTTAAATAAAATTACATCGTTTAGGTTGCTGCGGAGTCGTTTGTAGGGCTGAGGTTATCTACAACATATTCAATGTTAATTAAGGTTGTTGTACCCAGCTATTTTGCCACTTTTTGCTATTCATTTAAAGGGTAATTGCTACACATTAGGGTATACTATTCCATTACCGCTTTCATTTCACGCATTATCCTGGTGAGACTATAGTTTATAGACGACCTTTGGGTGACAATAAGGTGACCTTGAGAATGTCCACCTAACTAGGACTAGCCCCCGAATGCCCTGGTATGGCCGAGAGTGGGGAGAGTCCGCTCTCCCTCTCGAAATGCTCTCACACGGACACGCGTATACAGCCTCTGTTAGGGAAGTCCTACTCACTGCCTTCTTGTGGCGAGGGTGTTGTTTATTTATTATTTATTTATTTTTATTTTAACACATAGATATTGGTACAGAGGCACCAAATACATATGCGCCACACAGATCTCATTTGATATGTGTGAGGGCTGCGATACTGCCCGGGTGCCCGAACCGAAGCAGGGAGGGTGTTGTTTACGAAATTGAGAGGACGAAAAGCGAATGTCCGGCGCTTTAACCGGATTCCAAACCAATGGTGCACATGGGCTCCAGTATCCTGAGGGAACAAATGGCGTATGAACCAATTGTTGGTCACCGGCTTCTATGGGACTGCATCTCCTTACGATGCTCCACTGTATTGTGGATCAGACCTTCAGGTCGAAGGCTCGGGGAGTGGCCCCCTAAGAAAACCACCTGTTTCGGTTCGGGCACCCGGGCAGTATCACAGCCCTCAAACAAATCGAATGATTTATGTGGCGCATATGTATTTGGTGCCTCCTTGTACCAATGTTGATGTGTTTAAATAAATAAATAAAATAATATAACTAGAACTAAATGAGGGTTACAAACCAATGTGAGGAATCGGAATTGTGATTTACAGTTGATGGTTATGGTTAGGAATTAGATTTAGGTTTTTCATCACGGACTGACATAAGCTAAAATGCCAAAACGCTATTCAGCCGAATGAGTGAATGAATTTCACGTCAAAGTCTAATACCCGTTACCTTATGTCTGATTGGTTCGTCCATAAATTATACTCATACTTTTATGTTATTTATGTTTTTTCATCAGGATTATCACTTCGCGATTGGCTGACATTCATAGCAGAAAGTTACGGATAAATCTGAACGCTTAAAAGCATATCTTTGGTGTAAATTGCTCTCTGATACTTATGACCCATCTACTAAACGAACGGATAAGTTACCGAGGATGATGGGTGCAGCACACTTATACTGAACGTCGGAAATGTTGCAGATGACCTCAGCCATCTGCAATCACATTATCATCTATAATCAGTGATGAATAACTTATTTGAAAACAGTTTTTCACGCTCGACTCAATGACATTTTGGATATAGTGTGTTTAATTTCTGTTTTATTATATTGGATCTGAAGAACAAGAATTAGGGAAAATAGTAGCCTTCGTTTTATTCCAAAATCCCTGTCTTATATCATTATACTCTTGGAATCGCCCAAATGTAATGATGTTCATTCGTATTAATAGTTCTGTAAAGTGTAACAGTTTATTTGAAAGAAATAGCCTTATTTACCGACCAGTTATTCTAGTCTTTTGATATTAACCTATTTTGGAACGGGTTGGAATCAAGAATTTCTTCCTCTGAACAGTAATCGTGGTTGAGATACATGTTATGTATGCTCAACAACCGCCTATTTTGACGCTTGATGTTTACCACTGGTGTAGGAGGTTGGAATGAAACAAGTAATCAATCAAGTAATCCACTCAGTTGTTGACTGTTGATCTGAACATGTATGCAGGTGTAGACTAATTGGCTAGGATACTTGCGACTATCGTAACCAATAATTGGATTTGTTGAGTGATATATCTCAGAATTGTTTATTATGGCACAAATGTGCTCACTATTTATCTTCCCTCTCAAAACAACTTTTATTTCACAGATTCATTCTTGCTTTTCGAATCATATTGATTATGCCTAGTGTTTTCCACCCCTGTTGATACTGCTATTACTTCTACTACGCTGACATTTGTCTTGCCAATTTATTTGGCTATGGTGATGGAGTGCATCAACATAAACGAATATATATATATATATATATATATATATATATAAATGAAAATTCCCATTTTGCCATTTGGTAAATAAAGAAGAAGCGAATTGAGCGAAGAAATTTCTTTTCAATTAGTTTTTCATCATGGCTCTACACTAATATATATATGTTTTACAATAATAGTATAATACTCATCGAGTGGATACGTTACGTAATAATTACATAATGACATTTAAATTAACATTGAGTAATTGGAAGAAAGAGGATTATTAATAATCAAAGTAATTATTCAAAATCAAGACGTTGCTACGTTGCGTAATATATGAAAAATAGAGAAAGAACAGAATTTTTTAATGGATAGTCAATAGAATAGTAGTTACGTAAGTATCAAGAGATGAATGTTGAGAAGTTATAAAGTTCAAAAGTAACAGAAACAAAAAAAGACAAAAAACAAGTGAAAGAAGTATGCAAAATAGTTCTTTTGAAGGAAATCTTATACTGATGGCCAGGGCAAAGAAAGTAGTTGTACGAATCTCTTTTGAATGCAAAGGTCAGGTTTGTGAATATGGATCGCGATGGCTTCCGCAATGTGCAAGAGGCGCACTCGTAAACCATGTGGCAAATTTGATGGGGTATTGTAGATAACCTTAAAAGCTTTATTCAATTCAACTTGATGACCTGTGTCAACCAAGTGAGAGAGAATAGAACTTTTAATCACTTTTACCTGTCCTTTGCTTATCCATGACGGATGATGTTCTGTAATACGATGATGGACTTGCCGAATTATACGCCCAATATAACTGGCTCCACAGGAGCAGTTGAAACGATAGATACACATAGATTTGGCGAATTCAGGCAGTCTGTCTTTATTGGCTGTTCTTATTTTGGGATGGTTGTAGAAGATGGCATTTAATCTGGCAGCATTAAATGGTTTTTGTACGGCTCTTCTTAGTTTATGAGTCAAGATTTCTTCAATGGTGTCATTTATGAATTGTAGTTTTATGAATAGTACCTTCTTAGGGACGGTGGGTATCTTCGTCCTTATTTTCTTTTCCATCATATGTTTGTCGATGAATTTCAGGGGATGCCCATTCATACTAAGTAGGTTGCAAATGTTATTCAGTTCTTCTTCAATAGTGTCTTCAGAGCAAATCATTCTAACCCGATCAGTCAAGATCTTTATTAAGTTCCTTTTGTGTCTGATTGGAACTGCACTATGGGAATGAGTGTATTGTTCTGCTGTAGACTTTCTGTGCACCCCTCTTTTTAAAGTCCCATCTGCTCTTCTCGTTAGTTGGACATCTAGAAATGATATGCTATCATTTTGTTCATCTCCTGATGTAAAATTAATTGATGGATGAACGTTATTAATTATATTAAGTAAATTGTATTATTATCATTTTCTTTTTCTAATACGATGAAGGTATCGTCTATATAGCGATAATAAGTTGGTAAATGGCTAATTATGCTTTCAAGTGATCCATTTTCTAGTTTTGCAAGGAAAATATCAGCCAGTAGAGAGCCCAATGGTGATCCCATGGCAACCCCATCTAGTTGTCTATAGTATTCATTGTCAAATCTGAATTGGATGTTCATTGTACATCTGAGAATTAACTGTTTTTTTTCGCGGATGCTGGAATCGGGGTTTCTATGCGTCTCTCTGTTAGTTCCTTGCAAATAAATTCAACCGTTTCAAGTAGTGGGATGTTAGTGAATGGAGATGATACATCAAGTGATATCATGAAATTATTCTTGACTGGTAGATTTTTTATGTTCTCAACTAATTCAAAAGAATCCTTGACACTATGCTTGGCAATTTCTTTGTATAATGGTTTTAGAATTTGCATCAACTATTTTGCTATAGAATGATGGGCTGAGTTATTCATATCTAAAACTGATCGAAGGGGCAAGCCACTTTTGTGTATTTTTGGTAGGCCATATAGTCTTGGTGTGATCGTTCCTGTAGGTTTCGACATTTCGAACAACTTTTCCGTAGAAAAACGTTGCTTAATTTCTTTCAGTGAATCAGTTAGTTGTTTTTCAATCTTGTCTGCTGCGTCGTTCTTCACAGCCAGTTTCTGAAATTTGCTTTTATCATTTAAAAGGGCTTTCATTTTGTTTACGTAGTCATTTTTATCCATGAGTACTATCCCATGTCCTTTGTCCGGTTTCGTGATTAATAAATTGTCATTAGTTTTAAGTTTTCTTAAAGCTTCTATATGTTTTTTTCGTTAAAATCCCTTTCGTGTTATGTCTATGATTTAGGTATTTAAAACAACAATCGACTAGTGTTGAATTAATTCTTTCGACATTATCCTTTGATGAAGTTACTAGTTCTGCCGTTTGAGCATAAAAATTTTCGAATTGAATTTCAACGTCCATTCAATTGACTGTTTTCTTAAAGTCACAAAACTTAGGGCCTAATAATAACGCTTCTAACACAGTTTTATCCAGCATAACACTAGGGAAATGGTGTTCGTACTGACCTGGATTAGATGGAAATTTCGTTTCTGGAATCTTTTGTCTAGATTTTTCTTAAGTTTCATTCTTTTCTTTTCCTTTCTTGAGTTAACAACCATCTCGACATAGTCCATATATTGTTCTCTTAGTTTATCAGAGAGATCTTTTAGCGCGTAAATTCTCTCGTTGATATTTTTTACCATCTCGGCAATGTATGAGTTTAAAGAATCGATTCGGTTAAGGGCGTAGCGTTTGAGAGTCCTTCCATTTGGTAGAACTCGAGAGCGACGTAAAGATTTCCAATACAACTTTGGATACAAGTTGGTTTCTATGCACTTCTTTATAAAATCAACATTTGTCATTGCCTCACTGAGCCTTGCGCTATACTTCAGATACTCATTGAGAACCTTTAACGCAAATGTTTGCTCAGAACGTTTCAATATAGTGAAAATTCCCATTTTGCCATTTGGTAAATAAAGAAGAAGCGAATTGAGCGAAGAAATTTCAAGAAAACAAGAACAAAGATACCCACCGTCCCTAAGAAGGTACTATTCATAAAACTACAATTCATAAATGACACCATTGAAGAAATCTTGACTCATAAACTAAGAAGAGCCGTACAAAAACCATTTAATGCTGCCAGATTAAATGCCATCTTCTACAACCATCCCAAAATAAGAACAGCCAATAAAGACAGACTGCCTGAATTCGCCAAATCTATGTGTATCTATCGTTTCAACTGCTCCTGTGGAGCCAGTTATATAGGGCGTATAATTCGGCAAGTCCATCATCGTATTACAGAACATCATCCGTCATGGATAAGCAAAGGACAGGTAAAAGTGATTAAAAGTTCTATTCTCTCTCACTTGGTTGACACAGGTCATCAAGTTGAATTGAATAAAGCTTTTAAGGTTATCTACAATACCCATCAAATTTGCCACATGGTTTACGAGTGCGCCTCTTGCACATTGCGGAAGCCATCGCGATCCATATTCACAAACCTGACCTTTGCATTCAAAAGAGATTCGTACAACTACTTTCTTTGCCCTGGCCATCAGTATAAGATTTCCTTCAAAAGAACTATTTTGCATACTTCTTTCACTTGTTTTTTGTCTTTTTTTGTTTCTGTTACTTTTGAACTTTATAACTTCTCAACATTCATCTCTTGATACTTACGTAACTACTATTCTATTGACTATCCATTAAAAATTCTGTTCTTTCTCTATTTTTCATATATTACGCAACGTAGCAACGTCTTGATTTTGAATAATTACTTTGATTATTAATAATCCTCTTTCTTCCAATTACTCAATGTTAATTTAAATGTCATTATGTAATTATTACGTAACGTATCCACTCGATGAGTATTATACTATTATTGTAAAACATCTCATTATCATACAAAAAACAAAGAAAATTAACGTAAATTAAGTATTGGTTAACAACTCCATTCTTAGTATGTTTTGTGTTCCGTATATGAGAATTTCTTTTTCACTCTCCTTTCTTACTATGTAGTATATCCAGACGGACGCGTGTGCATTTCCATACTTCATGCTCCTGGTGATGATCCAATGGGTTATGAAAGTTCCGTTGAACGTTGGAGTCCAGTTCAATCAGTCGAAAAAATTTTATTATCTGTTGTTAGTATGCTTGCAGGTAATTGATTTTAAAGATTAAGATGAATTAAATCTAGTTTTTAACTTCTTTGTTTTGTTTTTCAGGAAATCATTGTCCTGTTTAGTAAACTACTCAAAAACCATACATTCCGACTAAATAACTATCTCATTTTATTAAAATCACAAACCGATCAATGTTAGATCACTACTCAAATCTTGGAAGCACTAAACGGCCGTCTCGTCCTATTGTGGCAAGCCTCAGCAGTGCGCATCCGTAACCGCAAACTCGGGGATCGAACCCACGACCTCCGGTCTCGCGCGAACACTTAACCTCTGGACCACCGAGTCGGAATCATTTTAATCAGATAGTTTTTATCTCACTATTCTAAATTATCATCATCGGTAACTTGATACGTAGGAAAAAGAAGCACTTTCCATTGTGATTACATTTGAAGTTTGTTAAAATGATAATCCATTGAATACCAGTGTTTAATAATTAGTAGATAATGCTGGAAAATATCAGTGGTAGTCATACTGACAACAAAAAACTGTTTATGAGATCAAATTATCGACGTAACTCAACCCAACCCTCTCATCACATGAATTGTCATCAAAAGAAAGCTAGCTAGCTCAATAGGTTTTGTTTAATTTAGTAAAATGATATACTGCCATACAAGGTAGTGAATACATGAGATTATAAATAATGAGCAGTCATTGGAATCATTAAGCAATCGGCGGTCGGGAAAGGAGTGCAGAAATGAAAATTCTGTAGATTATTCGTTCGTATTTATGAAATTGAGACTTAATTCTTACCCCTATCATATTTACAGTTTCTTATAAGTTAATATTTGGTAGTCTATGTAATAAGAATTTTATTGAATCGTTTTTTTTTGGGGGGGGGTCATTGAAATTCAGTTCATAATGAAAATAATTTATTTCATGGATTAACATCAGTTTGGGAATCATTAAAAATCAGAAAGGATTGGTTAATTGTATTTAGTTTAAGCATCCGAATATTTGATTCATTTGTTGCGAGCTCTTAAGAATTCTTCGGAAAACTCTTCAGGAACTAGGAGAGGAGTGAAAATACTACGTCTAACCAGGGTTGACTAGAAGCTTCATAGAGTTCTAGGAAGACGACAGGTTGTGTTTCATGTCTTGATTCAACAGTTATTGGTTTCCCTACTAATTTATCCATATTTCTGGAAGCTTCTAAGATCCTGGAGCCATACATCATGTGCCTAAATTAACCCTGAAAGCTAATTTTGTTTTAACATTTCCTGCCTTTTGTCTTCTGTTTGAGGCTAAAGCGTAGAAAACTCTTTAGGAGGGCTAGGATTCGCCTAAACATTAATTTCAATAGTTGAGATCAAGAGTCAATTGAAGCTAAACCACCATGGAAAACCTGGAACCACTGGACGGCCGTTTCGTCCTATTGTGGGACTCCTCAGCAATGAGGGACCGTGGATGCGCAGTGCTAAGGAGTCTCGCAATAGGACGAAACGGCCGTCCAGTGGTTCCAGGTTTTCCATGGTGGTCTAGCTTCAAATGACTCAGTTTGTCAGTCAGCTACGACGTAAGACCAGGCAGATATATGCATCGGTCTAAGTTGCCATACCTCATTAACACAACAAGATGGACACCGGATTCATAAAAGTAGTTAATTCAGAGGTGGTTGACTCATGATCCCAATCTTTAGACCATAAAGTTTGAAACCCGGTAATCCCCGTTTAAAAGTTTAACTAGTTGTTTGTAACACTGATGGCCACCTTACTCACTCCTGTTACTGATCGTTGAGTGGGCATAGGCCGCCCACTAGCATTCTCCATCCGACACTGTCCTGAGCAGTCCTTTCCAGTTGCTATTCACTTTTTTGAGGTCTGCTTCCAATTCGCGACTATGTGTGTTACTTGATCTTCCTCTTTTCCTTTCCCCTTCAGTATTCCAAATGAGGACTTGCATCGCGATGCAATTTGATGATTTTCGAAATTTATATCCTATCCACTTCCAACTAGTTTTCCTAATTTCCTCTTCGACCGGAAGCTGGTTTGCTCTCTTCCACAGTAGGCTGTTGCTGATGGTATCCAGTCAACGGACATTGAGTATCTTGCATACACAATTGTTTATAAATACTTGTACTTTTTTATGGTTGTGGTGGTTCTCCACTTTTTAGCTCCGTACAGTAGAACTGTCTTGACGTTCATATTGAAGATTGTGACTTTGATGTAGGTTGACAGACAGTTGTTTTGAGTTCCATATGTTCTTCAACTGTAGGAATGCTGTCCTTAGTTTGTCGATCCTCGCTTTTACGTCTGCATCGGGTCCTCCTTGTTCATCGATGATTCTGTCCAAGTACATAAAAGTTTCCACCCCTTCCAGAACGTCTCTATAAAGTGTGATTGAATTGGTGTTCTTCGTGTTGTATTTGAGAACCTCGGTTTTTCCTTTTTGTAGTCCGCCTTATGAATTTCGGATGATTTACACCATAGTGTCGAATAAGGTTCCATAAGGTCCTACCCACGCTGTCAAACACCTCATGGACAAGGAATGTGGTATATAGCGATGAGTTTTTTTTCAGTTGATTGCTCGACAATGATCCATAGTGTCGCTGTTCATTTTGTGCTCGACCGATCCTTACGGAATCCAGCCTGTTTATCTCGAAGCTGAGCGTCTACTGAACCTTTCATCCGGTTCAGCAACACTCTGTCGTAAAGTTTTTTTGTACCGATAGTAGTTTGATGCTTTTGTAGTTTACACATTTGTTCAAGTTTCCTTTCGTTAATATCTTGATGAGGTATCTTTGTTTCTCGTGTGTCGGGACTTGTTCCTCCTCCGAAATCCTCCCGAATAGAATGTGGATCATGTTTGCAGTTGCTTGTATGTATGACTTGAGTGCTTCGGCTGGTATATTATCGGGTGCTGCTGCTTACCCTTTTCTTGGTTTATCTGATGACCGTGCTGATTCGTTCGATCATTGGTGAAGTGACATCTGTAAGAAAGTCTGTGTGTGCTGATTCGATGTTCAATATTTTCAGTGGAGCTGGCTTATTCAAGAGTCCTTCAGTGTTCCACACATCTCTTCCTTTGTTCTTAAATCTCAGTGATTGGTTTGTCTTGTTTGTCGTTGACCGGTCCTTCTGATTTACAATATTTTCTTACCAGTCTCTTCGTTGTATCATATAGTTGTTTGATATTTTTATGTGTTGCAGCTTTTTACACTTTTGTTGCTAGTTCTTCCGTGGATTTCCGTTTGTTTGCTCTTAGGCTTCACTTTACTTGTTTATTTGCTTCTGTGTATTCAGCCTGTGCCTTTATTATCTCTGTTGTTGTTCTGCTGTTGTTAATTGCTGTCTTCTTGTTCTTCCTTTCTCGAATCTTGTCCATTTTTCATTTGAACACAGAAATATTGATACTAAGGGGCACCGAATACATATGCGCAACACAAGTCACTTTATCTGTGTGTGGGCTGTGATACTGCCCGGGTGCGCAGACCGAAGCAGGTGGTTTTCTTAGGGGACCGCACCCGGAGCCTCCGACCTACAGGTCTGATTCACAAGACAGTCGAGCAACGTCAGGAGATACAATTCCATGGTGGCCGGTGACCAACGATTGGTTCATACGCCATTTATTCCCTCAGGATCTTGGGACCCATGTGCACCATTGGTTTGGAATCAGGGTTTTCCAACTCCCCTAGGTGGACCATCAGTGTCTACAAACCGGGTTAAAGCGCCGGAAATTTGCTTTTTGTGTTCCTAATTTGGTAAACAACACCCCCTGCCACGAAAAGGTAGTGAGTTGGAATTCCCTGGCAGTGGCTGTATACTCGTGGCCCTGTGAGAGCATTTCGAAAGGGAGAACGGACTCCTCCACCGTCGGCCGTACCAGGACGCTTGGGGCCTTTTCCACGGTTTTGATAGAGGGCCATTCCTCATGATGATGCTTCTTGAGGTTCAGAACCTCCTGACAAGTTGATGTTAGTGCTTCTTTGATGCGTTTGCAATCGCCCTCTATAGTAGTTCCTTCTTCCTTGAGTAGATCTTGTAAGGCTTGGAACCTGTTGTTGAGAGTTGTCTTGAGTTGGTTAAGTTTGTCATTATCTAGAATTAAAGCTGCATTAAGCCGTTGTAGTGCTGCTTCTCTAGCTTCAGTTTCATCTTGGCTACAACCCGGTGGTAACATGAATCTACATCAGCTCCATTCCTGGTTCTCACGTCTTCCATTGACCTTGTGAATTTTTTATTGATGCAAATATAATCAATCTGATTCCGTGTAGTGTGATTTGGTGGGGCCTATGTAGCTCGGTGTATGCGTTTGTGTGAAAATATTGTACCACCTATAATCACTTTGTTGAATGCACATGATTTTGCGAATCTCTTATCATTCTAGTTCCTTTATCCCAGTCTGTTGATGTCGTTTCATGATATCTTGATGCCTGTTGTTGTCCATTTCGACTTTGGCGTTTAGATCTCGTATGAGTGTTTTTAGGTCCTAATCTGAGCACTTCGCTATGATCGGTTACAGCCTCTAATAAGTCGTATGTTTATTGGATACGTTGTTATCAGTGTTGAGTGCATAACACTGGATAACATTCATTGTGATTCCCTCCTTCTTTGTTTTAAAGGATGCTATGATGATTCTGGGTCCGTGAGATTTCCATCCTATAAAGGCTTTACGTGCTCGTTTGCGCAGCATAAGAGCAACTCCGTGAGTGTTCGGTGCATTTTCTTCTTCGTGGTCAGAATACAGCAGCATTTCTCTCGAATGTGTAACCTTTTCTGTCGAGCTTGGATCCGTTGGATTTCGCTCATTCGTAGCACGGTCAAGTTGTATCTGCTCGCTTCCGTAGCTGTTTCGTCGGCCCTCCAGGTCTCTCACATTGTGCGGACATGTTTGTATATTAGTTGTTGCTGTGGTTTTTAGAAGGGTTGTAGGCCTCGTGACTTCCGAAGAATCTTCGCTTTCACCACGAGGTGTCTTAGTTTTTCTGAATGAAAATCCTTCAACTTATATTGGTAGAGTTTAAATGTTTTAAATTGTTTATTTTTGGTTAGCTTTGTTTTAGTAGTGTTGTTCTCTACGGAATGGTTGTTACTGACCCCATGTGTAACCCTCCTCCTTTACCCGGTTTGGGAGCGAAATAAGCCCTTGGAAGGCTACTGGCGTGTTAATGGCCGTCTACAAACCGTTAAATTATTTATGATGTAGTATGTTGTTAATCCTACAAAAAATTTCTTCACACGGATTAATTAGTGGTGAATACAATAAAATTAATTTTCGTATTTGATTATCGTAGATTTGTGTCATGCTCAGTCGAAACAATATTTTACATGCTTCCAATTAAAAGGTCAATTGTAGGTTATGAAAATATTTTTTTAATTGGTCTAGTTCATGATATACAATATATTGTCCTACACTTCGATTTTACCATGGTCTAACTCTTCACTTAAGAGTTAATCTTGTTTGTATTGCAACTTTCAACTGGATAGGCTTTAAGTGATTAACGCTTATTTCTACGAGTGATTCCTACGTTTTTTAGAAAAATAATATTTTCGTGACGGGCAGTGTCCAAATACTGACACTGATAAACGGTGTGCTACGCTCTAACCCCTCAACCAACTACTTGAGCGAGAACACAAGCGTGAGCAAAGAAGTATATTGGTCTATCGAATAAAGCGCACAGATACTCATTTACATATATGCCACTCTAACTCTTAGAAAATTGATTCATTTCTGAGTCAATGAAATGCACTGTACCTTTAAGTCACTTCTGATTGTCATCTTTTGACCTCATTAGGCTACTTTTTATTGGCTTACCATATCGCCTTTCCCTCTAGAAACATAAATCATTGAACTTAATTGAAGCAGTTGAGGTAAATGTCGTCCTGATAATCTTCTTGGGGTCTGGATATCAATTCTTCTGCGCTGATCTTGCCGCTCCAGACCAATTGTTTCAGTTAAATAATCCAGTCACAAGTTCGAGCTAGGGGGTTGTTTTTCTGACTTAATCGTCTTTCTCGGATGTGGTTTACATATTGCGTATATCACGTCACCGAATTGTCTTACGACGACACCGGCTATCCACGTAGGTCCCCCATTGTTGGAAGTTCCTTATGTACACTTATAACACAATAAGAGACTGACGTTCAATTCTCTTCACCGTGGATCTATAATCTGGTCTTATTTGTGGGTACATGATATCAAATGAATCCCGAATCTTCCTTCCGAACATTGACTCAACAGGTGGACAACCTTAGGTGAGGCTGGATTGAGGGTTATTGCTGGCGATTTTCTCGGTCGTCCCATTGTAGTGAACAAGAACACGGGTGGGGACAATCGGATGTATTTAACTCGAAATTACAGAGTATCTCAATAAAATCTGAGAACCATATATCAAATCGTTAATTTGCAAATTGTCCACCAATCGTTTCAGAATGCTTCAGACTTCATTGTTCTTGGATTTTCATACAAATTGTATTCTATTCCCGCTCTTACTTTCTTGATCTTCCCCCATCTTCTGCTGCCAGACTTTACATTCCTGACTCGCATAATATACTACTTATATCAATATAAGTAGCACTCACCACACCATCACCTTGTAATCATTCTGAATATCATAAGAAAATTTCTGTCACCATTTGTGCATCATATGAGGAGATGAAGATATTTGGTTGCAAATAATGTTAGATGACCTGTCGAACATCTTTAAAAATGGATTACAAATAAGATTAAATGGGTGATCGAACATTTTTAATTATGTGATCTGGTCAAGACCCAGTAGATTGAAGTGTTCATCACTTTCATAACATTTGGATTTGATTATTAGATCATTAGATTCGACAGTACATTTGATAATTCCAGAGATGTGAATTGAAATACCCGATACATTCTTTATGCAGCCGGTAGTAAGATGAATGCTTGGCCGACCAAGTTTTTCGAGAAATCAAAGTAATATCTGATGCAGTGTCCAACTGCAGAGTGGTAATATGATCATTAACATCAATGGATATATACTTGCGTAATCATTGAGGGTTAGATTTAGTCAAAACAGGTTTCTTGAAAATTCGGTTAGATCAAAAAGAAATAAAAGTCTGTGAACCCCTTGTACCACATTCGCAGTTGATTACTGACTAGATTAGGTTATTAAGTTATTGCGGCACTACTGTTCAACTTCCCATTATTATGAAACTTAAGACAAGGTTACTGATAATAAAGGTTCTCTTCGTTTAATTGAAGATAACAGTTAGCGCTGATTTTCACATAATTGATTTCAAGTTAGTTCTAGTATCTTGAGCTCGAATTTACATTGCAATCTTTATTAGTTACAAATCAGTTCCACAGGAACTAATGGTTTTTCGCACCTAACGATTATCAGCTCACTATGCAGTTTTCCAGTAATTGCCGTAACTGGTTTGCCTAGTACAGGTTTATGAGTTCAGCTTTACGACACAATTCATTTTAGTATATGGGGTAGTGATGCTGCTCGATGCGGTTCAGACCTGTGACCCAACAATGGCAAGTTATTTTTCTCGTCTTCATCGTTCAAGGACGCGCGTTTTGACCAACAGACCAAAGGTTCAAACTCTTTACTTGCGTTAGTCTAAGCAGTTAAATTGTGTCACTAGCCTCATCACCCTTGTAAAGAGTATGCTTAGTAAATAATTCGCATCATAACTTGGCTAAAAACCATCCTCATTCTTCGTTTTTTTTCTAAAACTAATTATTACTTTTTAGAACCGAATGATGAGAGTGCAGCTAATGTGGATGCAGCAAAAACATGGCGTGAAGATAAAGCACGTTTCAATAGTCTAGCACTTCGAAGTGTACGTATTAGTTTGGGTATTTCGGCGGAATAAGATACTATCAGAAAATAAAAGAAAATAACAATGAAACAATAGAAACTAAGCGTATCTTTTGACTTTTTTTTAAACAGTTATCTTTCATTTGTTATGTAGTTCCTTCAGAACAATTCTTATTGTGTTATTATCACTTCATTTTTTATTGTTGTTGTTATTAGTATTTTTTTGTTTTCTGATCAAATCAATCATGAACGATCTTATGACTTTATGATTTTGCTTGAATAACTGTTTATTGTGAAAGCTGCTCCTTCAATGAATGAAAAATAGATGAAGTTGACTATTTTTGGTGTGATCGAAATTAAGATTTGCCTGATGATGTTAATGACATGACAATTTGGCCAAAATGGTTTTTTGTCTGAGACTTACTTGTATCTGTTGTTGGGTTTGTCAAATGCAATTATTATAATCTGGAAGAAAGATGTGAAAGATATTTGTATGTTTGTTAGTTGTATGAGATGTGAACAGGATTAAATATGTATGGACATTGTATAAATGGTCCATATCAAGTAGATCATTAAGCCTTCCTTTCTATCAAGTGCTGTAGGTTTTAGCTATACAAAATCCAGCCACTGGTATTTTTTGTATAAACGGAAAATCATATTCGGATTAATTTGGCATAAATAAGGATTTTATGGTTGATAGAAGGGCGTTTACTGCTATTGCTTATTTGTTTTGTTGATTTTATGGTTCTAAAGAATTACCAGGAGTTCTCTTTGTGGAGCCTAGATGTTCTCTCGCATAAGTCATGGTTTCACATCAAGACTGTAATATAGAATGCATAACAATCCGTGTCGAAATGGTAAGGATTTCAACTTTTACTTCAACTAAAGCATTTCGAAGTGTTGGTTGTTTTATAGGATGCTTTTATTTTTTGGGATTAAGGATTCGTTATGGCTCGTCTGTTATGCCATAAAGGTATGGTAGAACTGTAGTACCAACCCGTGATATTTCATGCAATTTATTATTATGCGTTTTACAATAATGAAATAATAATTATCAAGTAGATACGTTACGTAATAATTATATAATGACATATCGATTATACATTAATATTGAGTAATTGAAAGAAAGAGGATTAATAATAATTAGAGTATTTATTCGAAAATCAAGCAGGTGCTACGTTGAATTATATATAAAAAAGAGAAGGAATTAACAATATTTTGATGATCGGTCAGTAATATAGTAGTTATGTATTTTGTTTAGTAATATTCAGGATAAAGTTTTTTAGCTGGAGTTCGCTAGTTGTTTTTCTTAGCTGATGTTACGATTATAGTGCCTCATCTGAAAGAGATTTTTGCATTAAGTGGGTATGCTAAGCTGAAATTAAAGTAATTATTCGAGTGTCGGCTTGCGATGGATGGTTAATTCAAAACTTCAGTCTTAACATGATAGTCCATAAAGTGAATTTGATATGATCTGAGAAAGTGTTAGTTTTAAAAAATTTGGGTTTGCTACTTGTTTATGCTCCCGAAAGAAGCTAACTAATGATTCAACTTGTGTAAGAGAGACGAGAAGAACCTGTGTGATGTATCGTTTATGTCTGTTAAGTCTTGTGTTCCAGATTTTTTTCTGCAAAACATGTACCTAAATTTGATTTCTAAGACAATATGATAGTTTCTACTTAGCCCCTTGGGGAATATGTTTCTAAAACATCTGTTTTTTAAATAAGGTGAATGTGGATAGACTTAGGAAGAATGGTCCACTTTACTTTAGTCGACAAACTGACTACAGTGGTTGGTTAACGTAACAAAAGTAGTTGCAATTCAGTCATGAGTCTTGTCATAATTTTCGACTTAATATATGGGGTTCTGACTTTTTGAAAAATAACCACGTATTATCAACTCAGGTCATACTAGTCGAGCCGTCATACCTATTTCACAGAATATTAATGGATAATGTTCGGTCCTGAACATGAACTGAGTGACTTGGGATGACCTGATCCCCTTCATTTCACTTAATGATAGTAAATAACCTGTTTAGTATTGACAGACGCAGAACACCGATGTGTGGGCGAGAATGATAATAATTGTTTGACTGCTTAGTCAGACATGTAGATAGTCTGACAGGTGTCAAATGAGTTATATATTCCCTTATCCTTAATATTATTGGGACTCGCTCATTATTGATTGTTCATTGTTGTTTGATTGTGTCGGGTTTTTGGTGTGGAAATATATTTACGTTGTCGTCAGGCTAATCATGTGTTCTTTATCTGAGTTGTGTTGAATTCCTGTAGAATAGACACTGGGAGGGAATTTAGTGTAGATGTTCATCTAAGGTAAATTAACGTCCCATACGTGTAAGAGTAGAAACCCAACCGTTATAACATTAGACGAAGTAAGACCGAGCGTTATAACAAACAGTGATAGTCATATTCTCACCTCGGATTTCACCAACCACTACACCCTCGTAGATCCATATCAATTTTATTGAAAGAATCAATAAGAACTTTACATCCACAGGGGAAGCAGTGGTTTCGGTCAAAAATGTGGGGGTAAAACGTATGAAATAGTCTGAACTACTTTTACGGAGAACGACTAGTTGTGGAACGATTTATCATATTGTGTGTTGGTGGTCGTTTAACGTGGACAAACACAGAGCACACGTACTATTAAATGTGTGATTTCCTTTCTTGTAATTGATTTCTACTACGAACTCACAGAATGTGATTGCTTTCAGTAAAGTATTGTGTAGTGTTTATTTGATTCTCTATTTTAAGTTGTGAATCCAAGTTCTGATATAACATGATTGGTCTTATTAAGGTTTTTTCGTAATATATGCAAGAAAGAACAACATCCGTTACATCACATGGAAATGTTTTGACAGGAATCATGGGATAAAACATCTTAGATTCCGCTTTAGATCATATTTTTAGGTAACTCTGAAATGAGTATTGATCGAACTGATGATCTGTCCTCAGGTAGGGCGTCCCAAATTTCACAGGTTTAAGTGAGTTTATTCTAAATATGACAATGGGATGCTCAAATCTTTTGTAGTCGTTTGGAATTATTCAAAACATAATTAATAGTAAGTAAATCATCAGAATTAGAATGAGAACTATCTATCTAAAGTTTAGAGTTATGTACTTAAATAGGATTGACTGGAGAATCATCGGAATTAAAATTATCATCAACTACTTTAAGATTCGTTACGATGTTTCCCTGTACAAATATACGAGTAAATACCTCCTTGAATAAATTTCCTTATGATCATCACCTTTTCTCTCCGTTGTATTTATTGCTGCTCCTACTAATGTTTGCATTTTCGTATATTTGTCACTTTTTTGGTTTGCTTGCAATAATTACACCTATATTGTTAAAAAATTCTGAATAATATATAACTCACTGATGTTGATGAGTCTTCAAGTAAGTGTTTATATATGTTTTACATAACATTTCTTCACGGTGATCAACATTTTTTGACTGCTTGCTTAAGTTTGTACTCTGTGGACTTGTAGTGACTCATATTTACCACGAGAACACGACCGGTTTAATAAAAACAATTATTATCATAGCCAATTGTACCAGTGACTGTTTTAATGTGCTTTTGTTTGACTGTGCTAATGACAGCTATTTTGTGCTTCCATTCTTATACACAGACTTTGATTGTGACTTCGCGCGAATTCGGTTACGTTCTGTAACCAAGCTTGTATCCTGGCACGATCTCGGTATCCTTTCGATACCACGAGATCGCCAGCGAATATATCTCGGTTTGGTCCATTAACTGCCTTCTGATATTTGGCTTCTCAGGGATCTTGTAGATTTATTTGGTTACGTTCAACCTACGCCTTCTGATTTACTTGGCACGTGTTTCTTGGTAGCGATGTTCACAGTCAATTTCGACTCGACGCCATGCTACAGACTGATTGCTTCTGTCCTATGAGGTTGATTTCGAAGTGAGTTCCCTGTTCGTTTAAAAAAATGTTTCCCATTAAGAAGTGTGAATTATTCGTATTTCTTCACACACTTTTTCCTGGTTGCCTACTCATTTTTGCACTGACTGACTGTACATGAGATATTGGTCAATCTCATCCCTCAACTACGTGATTTGAGATGTGTGAATAACTCATTGTTCTGACAAGAGCGTTGGATTTATTAGCTTCCGGGTTTGACAGTTTAAGAACACCCTTGCCCTTTCTTGCATCATCTTCTAGGAACAATAATGATAGGCTTGCTATTCTATACTAAAACTGCAAACATCCATGTGGTAGATGCACCAATAATCAGGTATTATAATCAAAAGTACTTGAATTATATTATTAACTAAGAATCTCCGATACAGTGCAATTCAAACCTTATAGGACTAGGTGAGTACAAACGAATGTACTGTAGCGGTAAATAAATCCCCAAAATAAATAGCTCTGTAAGCTTTCGACATTGGATGCTGACCATATGTTTCAATGCACTCACCTAGCTGAAAGCGCTCGGTCATGCATCCATACCAGATCACGTGTGGAAACGCCGTGCTCAACATCTACTGCAATCGCTAGTCAGAGTAGATCAGACGATTCTCGATATACTGATTCCTATCAAATATATCTTCCGATCTCCTCGATCCTGTCTTTTCATTTCACTTGGTGGGTACGCTTCATATCAGAAGGTGTTAATGGTTAAAGCGTTGTCAAACACTGAATACCTGTGCCATCTTTAGTACTGTATTTAGAATTCGATATCAGGAAGGAATCAGGTACAAAACAATCATTGGTTAGTACAAACGCCACATAAGCGTAGAGTCTTTGTTGTTGAAACAGTTTGAGGAAATCTGTAGGATTACGGTCTACATCGTCGTTAATATTACTATAATAACAGACCCAAATCCTGAAATTATAGATATGTCACGGTGTGACTGTCTAATCTATGAGTCACATCATTGTCTACACTGTCTCATCGTGTCGTAACAATTAACAATTTGATGTCTGAAGTTTGTAAAGATCTTATACAGACTAAAGATAGGATAAACATATATAGGGTGAACTAAAAAAAGTTATACAGAATGACCAC